AGTAAAATTTGGAAAAAAAAAAGAAAGTAAACCTATGGCTTCGTCCATTGCGTATCCGAGGCCCGAGTGCCGGCAACAAGCAGGTGACCCTCCTCCTCGCCTCCTCTCCTCCCCCGCGGGGCCGGGGGGCCCTGGGTCGGGGGCCACGGACCTTGTGCAGCTTCCGGTCTATGTTCAGATAGTGGTTCCTCTGCACCAGCAGCAGATCCAGCTCCTCCCGCAGGGCTGCGTTCCGAACCAGATGGATGTCGAAGTGACAGGTGACCTGGGGGGCGGGGGGGGACAGGTGTGGGACAGGGTGCCAGGGTCTGTCTGAGACCCTCCTCCACACTCAGACAGGGACCCGCTTTCCATGTGGAGGTCCTGAGAGCATCGGCCCGTTCCACCGGCAGAGCCCAAGCATCACTCTCCTTTCCCCAGGGACACCCCACCCTCCAGGATCCTGTCTCCTGACCCCCGCAGGGAGCCCAGCACCCAGGCCTTCCCGCATGCAGGCCTCTGTGTAGCCCCCTTGCCTCCTCCCCGCCCCCACCGCCGCCGCTGGCCATTTCCAGAACTTGACCCCAGGCTCATTCTTCCCCCAACCCCAGAGCTCAGGCCTGGAAAGAGCCAGGAGGGTGGCCCTCACCCTGTCCAGCTGGTTTTCCACGATCTTGATCCTTTTCCGGGTCTTGGCCTTTTGGTCCATGATGACCCCTGGGGCCCTGGGATCCTTACCGCAGGCAGAGAGCCGGGCCTCCCACTCCTGGATCTGGAGGAAGGAGGGTGGTGCCCGGGTGTGGGCTGGATGTGGGAGAGGCGCGAGACCAAGGAAGGGGGTGCGTGGGAGGCTGAGTGGCTGCGTGCGGCTGGCACCTGCCACCCTGGGACCCCCGACCCCGCTCTACCCTTCTGCGGACAGCCCCCCACCTTCCACGTGGATCGGCTTCCAACCACAACAGTGGATCGGCTCCAACCACAACAAGCCACCCGGCCGGCCCAGGACCCACCCAGCCCTGCACAGTCACAGTGACTGGCCACCAGGAGGCCATGTGACCCAGGCAGAGCCAGCCTGCACCCTTTCCCTGGATTTGGGGGAAACCCGTGAGCTGGGGGGGTGGCCCCCGGGACTTGGGCTGTCACAGCCCCCGCCGCAAGGGTGGTGCCCGGGTGTGGGCTGGATGTGGGAGAGGCGCGAGACCAAGGAAGGGGGTGCGTGGGAGGCTGAGTGGCTGCGTGCGGCTGGCACCTGCCACCCTGGGACCCCCGACCCCGCTCTACCCTTCTGCGGACAGCCCCCCACCTTCCACGTGGATCGGCTTCCAACCACAACAGGCCACCCGGCCGGCCCAGGACCCACCCAACCCTGCACAGACAGTCACAGTGACTGGCCGCCAGGAGGCCATGTGACCCAGGCCGAGCCAGCCTGCACCCTTTCCCTGGATTTGGGGAAAACCCGTGAGCTGGGGGAGAAGGCCCCGGGACTTGGGCTGTCACAGCCCCCGCCGCACCGAGCACCTGGGGTAGTGAGGCCAGTAGACAGAGTGGAGGCGAGAGGCCGAGGTGGCGAGAGCCAGCCCTGCAGCCATTGGAGTCCCAGGTCTGTTGTGCGGAGCCCGGTTTCCCCGCTGCTCTCGTTGCCCTATTCCTCCTCACTGACGTGGGGTGTGCTGTCTCCCCAGCTATTCCTGACACGGAGTAGGTGCTCAACAAAGCTTGCCCGACAACACAAACTCGTGACTTGCTTAAGGCTGTGCGCTAGTGTAGGTGGCCTGTGTCCTGCAGAATCTGTGTCGAAGAGCTAACCCCCCAAGACCTCGGACTGTGACCTCGCAGGACCTCAAGCTAAAACGAGGTCCTGAGTGTGGGCCTCACCCAATAGGACTGGTGTCTTCATAGGAAGGAGACTGCCGGGAGCCGGTCCATCCTTGCTGTTCCCCAGAATCTGTGTCGAAGAGCTAATCCCAAGACCTCGGATCGTGACCTCGCAGGACCTCGAGCTAAAACAAGGTCCTGAGGATGGGTCTCATCCAATAGGACTGGTGCCTTCATAGGAAGGAGGCATTTGACCCTGGCTGGTTTGGCTCAGTGGATAGAGCATTGGCCTGTGGACTGAGGGGTCCCGGGTTCAGTGCTGGTCAAGGGCACATGCCTGGGTTGCAAGCTGGATCCCCAGCGAGGGGGTGGGGGAGGCAGCCGATGGATGATTCTCTCTCATCATTGATGCTTCTCTCTCCATACTGTCTTCCACAGTGGCTGCACCAGTCTGCATTCCCACCAGCAATGCAAGAGGGTTCCTTCAAGAGGGCTCCTTTTTTCCCGCATCCACTCCAGTACGTGTCGTTTGTTGATTTGTTGATGATATCCATTCCGACAGGTGTGAGGTGGTATCTCATTGTGGTTTTGACTTGCATCTCTGGAATGACTGGTGATTTTGAGCATGTTGTCATATGCCTCTTGGCCTTCTGTATGCGTGACACCAAACAAGGAATCGCTATGATGTGCACTGACCACCAGGGGGCGCGCACAGAACATGGTTGGCATCGGCAGCAGGTGGCAGAGCGTGGAACATGGCAGGCTTTGGCCCCCCGCAAGATGGTGGAGCCAGTGAATGGGGGCGCCAGACCACGGCGGGACACGGGTCGCTGTCATTGGGGCAAGCCTCTGGTGGTTACTGAAAGCTCTTTGCTCCCAGATGCCAC